TCATCTCGTAAAACTTAACTATATTTGAAAATGACTAGGTAATTATTTTCTTTATTTTTCTGAATTATTTAAACTTAAATAGTTTCTGTTGTGAAATCTTAAAATCGTTGTTTGTGCTACTGTTCACACCATCAACAAATTGAATTAGCGCCCTCGAAATGCTCAACCATCCTTTGGGCAACACAGATGAGGTTGCCATTCCTCATTGGGTCGAACTAGTCCTCGACCACCCAATAGGTGGAGCCATCAACTTCATATGTCTCATGCAGGAACTTGATTTTCAGGACGAATGTGTCTCCTGGAAGGGTTTTGAGAAGCCTTGCCACCCTCCCATCTGTCATACAAGCATCTAGGGCCATGCAACTATCCATAGCTTCGATGCCATCAGCAATCTCAACGTTGCCAATGTCAAGCAGATCTTCTGCTTCTACTCTCCACGTAGAGAAGACCGCTGTGCCGCCGTCGACTTCAAACTCATCTTTGACGTCATTCAAGATTTCAACCCAATGTTTCATCGACTGGGAGCCTCACCAGAGGAGGGGCCTGGATATCCAGGTCTATAATGTGTTGCCCCTCTGGGGCAGGGTCTGGCATTTCTGCAAGTATCTCGTCTATGATGTCATCCATTGTCGCCATGTTGCAGGGTGGATATACCCTACAGGAGACTCACTTCTAAATGGGAGTTTTGACTCCTACAAAGCGGGGGTCTGGAGTTTGGTGAGACACCGCCCCCTCTTCGGGCAGCAACTAGCATTATCTTGTGGTGAGATCTCTCTCGGAGCTTGGACATGACAGCAGGAAAGAGATTACGGGCCTGTTTCTCCTTGTAGGCTGGTTTGTGCTGAACCCGCGATGCACCACAGCCTTGGCACAGCCACGCCTAGCTCTGCGTGCCCACTCCACAATTGCGGAAGGGTTGTGGCAACACAGCGCCGTGCCGAATACATGCACAGTGCACCTTACAGTGCTCTTATACACCGGTTCTCGCATGAGGTCGGGGACCCAATCATAAGCCAACTGCACAAATTTTCACCCTTCATCGTAGATTGTATATCTAAGGTATATCCCTGCGTAGGACGTGCCTCTAAATGGTAGTTTGGCATCATGTCAACTGTAGAGCCCGGGACGGCGAGTCGTCCCGGGGCTTTCCTTGCTTTTGCCTGTTTGCTTGAGGTCAATTTTATGTACACGAACACCCGTTTGGTGTTGTTAATCTTTCATGTATGCAAACCTCTTCTGGAACCTCTAAAAATACACAATCATCAGTACCTAGATGTTGTTCTTCACTTCTTGTATTTTGTTAGATGTACATGATTGTTTAAGTTTAACACAAGTGTTATGATTTAAATAGTTTAAGTATAGTGTGAGTGTTAAATTTAGTTATTCTTACAAGCGATGGTTTATTGCAGGTTTGTTCACATAAATGTGAGAATAATATGTTGTGTAGTTCAATTGTTGCATTATTGCATTTGTTACTAGAACTTCCTAAGTTTTCACGAGTATTATTGCATCATAACATCTCGTCGTATGTTGAAAGTTCTAGGCCTCAGTCAGTCTATATATAAATGTGTGTCCAAAATGTAGTTCAAGTTAGTTAGTGAGAGATATAGTCAAACAGATCTAGACTGCATTTTGCCATAAAGTGCATATGGTGGCGATTTTTAGAGTGAAGTTATCATAAATTGTACTGCAATAACAGAGTAGAGAAGAATAATTTGTCTTGTCAAATTGTGTTCTAATGTACTGAACCTGCCTGTGTGGACTTTGACAAAAAAAAAGAGACAATCATTTAAAGCTCTGGATACAACTGTAGTAACCAACAGTTATAGTGATGATTTTAAAGTGAAATTAGCATAGATTCTATTGTAATAACATACTAGGAAAGAATAATTCGTCTTGTCAAAGTATGTTCTAAAATAACTGAACCAGCCCATGTAGACTTTGATGAAAAAGAGACAACTGTTTAATGCTCTGGATACAATTGTGATAACCTAAAGTGTAACAAACATTTGTATATACATCTGACTTGTTTTAACATATTATTTTAAAATAAGTGGCCTGTGTGTTGTTAGTTTATTGTTGAAATTTATCGCCAACAAGTCACAGACACCTAATGTGAAGAATCCGGCCATACATAAAACCTGACACATTTATTTGCATTGTCACCTTTGTCAAAGTTAAACCTCACCTTTCACTTGCAGGTCAGATTCAAAACTGACATTTATCATATTTATGAATAAAAATCCTATAACCACAGCCATTTCAAAAGGTGGACCTTACTTCTTCAGGGGCAAACTGGGAAGCGATGTACATTGTTTTGATGTAAAATATGTATTAAAAAACATCTCGTTATCAGAAGAAAGGTCCACCTTCGAAAGCGCTTGGGTTATAAGGTTTTTATTCATTTCTATCAAGACTTGTTGAACGTACGTGTTTTTCTAACATCATGAATTTATTATATTTATATATAGTTTGAAATTACTGGTATAAGAATTTTTGAAGAAAAGTAGTGTTTTTCTCAATGAAATTGCATTAGAGCAACTGATAGACAAATTGAATTTTCAGCAAAAAAGTCACTCCCACTAACCCTTCAAAAGCCATTATATCTTCATAAGTTCTTTTTTTCATAATTGTTCTACATCATTCCATTCATCCTGTATTCTGACAAATTTGCAGAAAATACAACAAAATTCTACAATTAACTGGCTCAGAGCAGTTTAGCAAATATTTTCTAGTTAAGTCAGAGATCACTTGTTAATATGTATAAAAGTTTAAATTCATGGCTGTTTATTTAAAAAAAAAACTCCTCATATTTATGTATTTAAAACACTGGGTGATACATAAAATGCTCTGAGCATCAACACATTAAAAAGAAAGCCAATACTGAAGAACAATAAATAATAAACAACAGATCACTCATACTTAACAGAAATGCAAACAATTTCAAAAGCAACCAAAATGAATTGTAACAGTACTTAGATGTTTTTATACACAGACTAATGTGAGTGTTCTTCTTTTACTGAGGTTGTAAAGATGGCCTAATGTTTTTCTTTTCTTTTCAAAAGAGTAATATATATATATATATAATAAATCAAGTGATAATGAAAATTCTATATGCATTAAAATGGAGGAGCTTTCTCAAAATGAAGGGAAACAGAAAAATTATTCATAATAATTTCTAGAAATGGTACATAAAATACACGATGCTTCGCAAAACATGTATGATGTACTTTATTTTGTTTTTATATAATTTTTGCAACAAAGCTGTTATGGTAAATAGTTAACCTGAAAACAATGAATTAAATTTTCTAATTAACTTCATCATCCTTTTGGGAAAGACTCTTTAAAGTTTTCAATAAATGTTTCAAAATTTTGGAACTTGCATACTACAATACTAGTTGCTGTTTAACTTATATTGTTTCATAATAATGAATGTTCTACCAATACTGTCCATTCTTAACATGACAATACCATCATTATATTACGCATCTGTTTTACAAGTTAAAGCAAATCATTGGCTCCCCTCCAAAGACTTTTCATAATGATTTATTATTTTATCCTAATCATAATTATCATTTTTGATGAAACATGTGCTAAACTCAATAACTTACTCCTCGTAAACAGCATGTTCATTTTTCACTCTGATATATGACAGAATTTTGCATACAATTATCTTCTCATTATACTTACATAATCATAGCTACCACATTGCTTTAATGGCTAAGTGTACAACCTAATATTACTTTTGGTATATCTGATGACAGGCAAAATACCAAACTAACATTTGAATTCAACAACAGTTTATTACTTAATGTCTTTGTTGGCACCTTTCATAAAACAGCATGTAAACTGAAGACTGTAGGACTTCTGAGATAGGCACTTCTCTTACTAAGGTGTCAGACACACAAAACCACCTGTTATAAGCTGATGTGTGGAGAGGACCTCTTCGATATGTGAGGAAGTGTCCAGAGAATACATCACCAAGGTGAACAATCACTGATTTCAGTTGATAGGTGTTTTTCTGGGCTGAATATCCACTGAAAATAAATAAAAGCACATAATTAATAAAAACTACTTTCTTCTCACTAAGTTAAAGTTGTTTGTTTATAAGTTTTGTATTACAGTTATCTGTCTTGTAAACGACTTTGGAGAGAGAGTAATCAGTGTCATTTGGTAAAAATCTGATGTATATTGTATGCAGCAGTGTCATTTAGTGAAATCTTATGTTATCAGTTTTGATTATGAGTTAGATATATAGCACAGTAAATTAAGTCTTTGGAGAGTCTTAGAGTCTCTTCAGCGAGACATTCAAGAGTCCAGTATCAGAAAACAAATTGATTGTGTAGCTTAAAACTGGATGCTGAGTCCGATTTTGTTTGGAAAAGTGAAATATTTTGTACGAGTGGCTAATAAGGCAGTTATTAAGTGATTCAGCATGGGCTCATAACCATTTTGTGCTTGTTATAATTTTCATGCTATAACTTTTAAATTAGTAAATTAATGTTAACAAAATTTGGCAGAGTATCAGTAATCATTACAATGCTTTCATACACAAAATATCAACTTTTTCTTATTCAGTCTTGAGGTTTATAATGCAATTTTTTTCTCATGTTTTTTTTCTTTCTGCAAAAAATTTTAAAATTTCACATGCAAAATTTTTATAATGTTCAGATAGTTATCAAACGTTTCTTATGAAAAAACTTTATATTTTATCTGTTATTTTCAGTAATT